TTTTTAGTAATCTATGTATGTCTATACATACATATGTACATACATATATGAACACATGTATGCATAATACGCGAAGACTTTTCGAAGTGAAACAACATTTAGAAAAAGTCCAATCCAAGAATAAAAGTAAAGGTGAGGACGTACATAGATAAAGAAAAGGATAAAGGCCAAGGTAAAAATAAACACAAAAACAAAGTTGAGTAAAGATAAAGGCAAACATGAAGACCAAGGTAAATTTAAACACTTTACTTATATGTATAAGTGCAAAGGTGAAGGGGAATATGTATATGAAGAATATGATAAACATAAAAATAAAAACAAAGATAAATATAAAGTAAAAGATGCGGATGAGGATACCGATAAAAGTATAGATGAAGATAGAGGAAGAAAGATTGAAATAAAGGTAGTTGTAGAGAAAAGGATATAGATAAAGGCACAGAGACTCAATCTCGGAACTATTTCGGGATTTTAGGGATTCTCGGGATTAACCAATATAATCGATATTTTGTTGGTTTTTTTATCGATTTTGTTATCGAAATTTTTATCGATATTGTTATTGATTTTGCTATCGATATTTTTGGAACTTATCGATATAATGATCGATATTTTTATCGATTTTGTTATCTCTTTATTATCGATTTTGTTATCGATTTTATTATCGATTTTGTTATCGGTATTTTTATCGATTTTGTTATCGATATTTTTATTGGTTTTGTTATCGATATTTTTATCGATTTTGTTATCGATTTTGCTAACGATTTTGTTATCGATATTTTTATAGATTTTGTTATCGATATTTTCGGAACTTATCGATATAATGATCGATTTTGTTATTTATTTTGCTATCGATATTTTCACTTATCGATATAATGATAGATATTTTTATCGATTTTGTTATCGACATTTTAATCGATTTTGTCATCGGTTTTGTTATCGATATTTTTATCGATTTTGTTATCGATACTTTCGGAACTTATCGATATAATGATCGATTTTGTTATTTATTTTTCTATCGATATTTTCGGAACTTATCGATATAATGATCGATATTTTTATCGATTTTGTTATCGACACTTTAATCGATTTTGTTATCGATTTTATTATAGATTATTTATCGATTTTGTTATCGATATTTTTATCGATTTTGATATCGATATTTTTATATTAAGTTTTTTCAATAAATATCTTTTCTGTTCAAAATTTCAAATCTTTAAATCTCAGTAAGCTGTAGAAAAAAACAATGGTATAAAATAAAAATAAAAATAGGGCTTTCGCTTATATTCTCACTGAGTTCTTTTCACTTAGAAGTATGTAAATTTGTAAAATTTTGGAAAAACCCTTTTTTTCTTAGTGTGTGATTTCGTTTTTGACTTGGATATGCTCTTAACCATACCACGTATTCTACGTTTAAATATAGCGGCTGTATCTCCGATACAGCCTGCAGACCAAGACGAAGGCGCTGGACTGTTCCTTTTTTTTTCAGTTTTTCTCACTAGAAATCTATATCTAAAGTGACGAATTTAGAAATAGTTCGGAACTATAGAAAAAGGGATGCAGAACGAACTAGATCCTATTTGTCGAATTTAGAAATAGTTCGGAACTATCGAAAAAGGGATGCAGCGGGGGCTTGTTTACTTTACATATGTAGATATGTGTTCGGCGGCTTTTTCGTTCAAATACGCACCTTCGATTGAACAGGAGGCAAATTTACTTCAGATATCGTCGGGTCATATGCGACGCATGGCCATGACCAATTAAAAGATGATATTTAATTCTCAAAAAATGTAAAAATTGTTTATTCATCGAAAAAATCATTAGATGACAATATATGTGGGTATATATCAGTAAACAAGTAGCAGCCATTAATAGCCCAAAATTTCATATACATACACACTTAACATCTAGAGAAAAACTTATATCCTACTTTAGATACAACTAAGAGCAACATACAACTAAGAAACCTAAACCTAAACCTTTATCACATTACAGTTCTAACTAAATATTATTCAGCAAATAGGCCCAAAATGTTCCTGCATAACTTCAAAGATATCATCTAACTCCTCGCTGCTTGAACTTTGTTCGGGCCACTGCAACAATGGAAATCCAATAATCGGCTGCGTTGATGGACTCAGCTTGATGTCACAAATATTAGTTTGCGCCACGAGTTCGCCCTCACCGTTGCTCTCCAAAAACTGCACTATTCTTTGTATTGTGCCTTCTTTCTCGGCACTGTTTGGTGTATTGTTCATATTTGCCTTCTCATAGCTGAAGAGCTCACCGCTTTTTCTGCCTTTACTCCTACGATTCTGGAACCAATATTTCACCTGGTTTTCTCGCACACCAATGCTTCTAGCGATTTTTACTCGTCGTTCCGCCGTCAAATATTTTCCTTTTCGATATTCACGTTCCAATATCATTGTTTGTTGATGAGTATACGAGGCTCGTGATCGGAATATTGCCGCTTTGGTGGACGTTGTTGACGATGAAGTTGAAGATAAAATTTTCCCATTATTGTAGTGATATATAAATTCAACGCCTTGTGGTGCTCCTTCACATTT